TTAATGGCTGTTAGTTCGAACTGAACCTTAACTTTTCTAAGTATGAGAAAAGTAGTAAGACAATGCTATCTTGATATTTAATTTCTAACAAAAATATTTAAACACTAGCTGCATGTTTTGGTATTGTTGATTGCATCAAAGTGAGTACTTGAGCATGGCATAGGTGGTTGTTGTGTTGGGTGTCACGTTGCTCTCATAAAAATTGCCCAAACTTCGTTAAACCACGTTTTGAACTATGTCGTTGACGTTCTGTTCATGAACTGGCACTTCAGGGATGAGCTCAGGTTGGCATTCGTTTATCTCCCTCCCTAACTGCTCTTTGATCTTGACGATTGCTTCGTTAGATAATCGGTAGTGTGGACTTTAGAGTAGTGAAATTGGTTGAGTTCCAGACGTGAGGATCAACAACTCTTGAGTCGCTTCAAAATGTGTACGCGACACATGTGGTGGTCGATTGGCCTGGGTCCACAGTCACCACGCGCACACATTACCGATGCCTGGCCATGATCGTGCTTGTGGCTAGCCTTGCTGGCTGTCGGCCGCGCATCGGGCTGCTGCTGCGCTGCCGTCCTAGACGTGCACGGGCCAGACCGATGTCGCGGCGGCTTTTGTCTAGCCGACGTGGCACTCTTTTCGCCGCTCGAACCACCTACTCACCGAGCCACTACCTGCCTCCGTAGTCACGTCGCACTAATGCCCTTATCATGGGGTCACTGCCCTCCCTCGTGTTGTTTTGTTGCACCGGCCCTGCGAGACGGCCCCGTGCGCGATCACTGTTTCACTGTCGTCGACCGCGTCCCGCCATGGCTGAGCAGTCCCATCACGGCGCTCCACGATGCTCTCTCTCTGAGTCTTCCCTATGCAGACGCCTTGCTTCATTAACGTAGCCTCGACCGAAGCAGGTACAGCCTTGAAGAGCTGCCACCCCCGCCTGCCCTTGTCTCTAACAGAATCGCCCTGCTTTGCACGACAAATACGTGCGGTTCAGGGCACCACACCTCAATTCGGTGTTCCAGCAGTTAGACAGGAAAGCCAGCTAGCATCCCGACCCATACCTTGGCGCAACCGAGCACTACTGGCCGCTAATTTGGCATTTTTCTCACCGCCGGCCAGGTGTGCCGCCGTGCCAGTGAAATTAGGGTAAGGTCCGAATGGGTTCAATTGTTTGTATCTAGGAGCTCGCTTTGACCTCCTCTATCTGGTGCTCGCTCCATTTGGCCAGGGTGCTTGCCGAAGAAGTGGTGACGCATGGGTGTCCATCCTGGAGCACCGCCGTCCCGGTGGCTCGCACGTGGCCAGGCCACCTCGGCACTCCTCTGCCTCAATCTTCACCGCAGCACGAATTCTGGTGAGCTACTGGTGCTTACCCGCTATCTCTATCACCCCGATAGTATCTTCGGCCGCTGAAACAGTTGTGCTGCCACACGGTTCTACCCGTCGTCGAGACCAGGCCTTGGTAGAGCACCGTTAACCTCCCAACCACCGCCATCCTTGCGTGTTTGGCCATAGAGCTCAATTGACCCCTTGGTCTCACCGGAGCGCCACTAGGTTGCTTGGTGTAACCACCATATGCCGTCGGTGAGCCACGCCATCGCGCGCACGCGCCCAGGGGCATGCCATTGCAGAGACGAGTTTTTACAGGGTGTTAGGTGCGAAGCGTGTCTCTTCTGCAATAGTGCGCATAGTGCCGCATAATAACTTGTTAGACTGAGGACTCTTTTGCAAATGAGTTGGAGCGTTCACGCAGCGGGCCAGTTGGGCCGGCCTGCTGGCACGTGGCCACGCTCCGCGCTGGTCGTAATGGGCTGCTGGGTCAAATGATTGCCGCCGGCCCTTTTGTTTTCTAAAGCATTTTTCTAATTTAGTTTCTAAGTAAACTTGTAATTTCAATATCAATTTATGTATCTGTCCAAAAATTTTGAAATTAATTTGTTAGGTTCCTAAAATCATGATCTATCTGTTGCTGGTATGTCTTGTTCACATAGTTTTATAGTATTTTTAGGGGCTATCTAATTAAATTGGGATGCTTAATATTATTAAGATATAAACTTGTAGGAATTTTTGTGATAAATTGGTAATAGTGTTGGCTCTGAAACTTTCACAGTGAATTCCTACCATTATTAGGTGCTCACTGTAATTTTTGTAGTTCCATAATAATTTGTTTGCTAAGGTAGCTAAATGAGCCCTAGTTCAAATAAATATATATTTAATCAATAAAATGCCAAAACACTTTGGGGTTGTAAAACTAAAACATTTTCCAGAAATGAAGCCTTACTTGACAACGCGGATACGTAGCCTAGTACGTTAGTCATTAGAGCTAGCATGTTAGCTTGTGAAGCATAATAGTGTTTTTAGAGTTGAGGTTGTCGTTTGTTAATTACGTTTTCTGCGCTACATCCGCGAATACCATAATAGGAAAATGATGGATCTGGAGTCGATCGGAGTAACAGGAGAATGGTGCCATGGTGCTCATGTCGCCATGGTGGAATGCAAATCCTTGGTTATATCTTGCCCAGGCAAGCCCCGGTCCATAACCTCTAATATTCTACACTTTATTTTATGCTTGTGCATTAAGTTTTAAGGAGTTGAATGAAACCCACTTGCATATATATCATTATCCTATGAGTCCTACTAGTATGTTAGGATCGTGTAGATTGCTATGCTATAGAATCCGGTAGAAGTCGAGTGATTACCTGTTACTCATGAGAGAAAGGAAAGGTATTATTGTTGTTATTATATTACTATCACATGGAATATATATGAAGGATAATTAGAAACCGAGCGGAATGGTACTTTGGATCTGGACTTGGATAGACATTCGAGCGAGGCTCGGATTGCACTTGTTCCGTCTATGTCGATTGTGGACCGTCCGTTGCTGTGGATGGTAGTCAGGTCACAGATTTATTACCCTGAGCACATACTTGCTTATGGGAGCGGAAAGACTTGTTGCTCTCTTGTCATGGGTTCGGCTCTTTCCGGACCGACCTTTAGGGGTGGGTATTAGGTGGAGGTCTAAGCATCATACTAAGACCGGGTCTCAGGTGTTGAGGGCTAGGAGTCCAAGTTTGGACGGGGACATGGACCCCTTAATAAGAGTGGGACGAGTTGGTTCCATTTGTGTCTAGGGTACAAGCGGGGCGTGTGTTTCGAGGTACCTAGTTGGGATACATTGATTCACGAATCACCGTTTCTGTGAGACGGTACGACTTGGCTATGGTCTAGCACCGTAATAAGAACTGGAATATGAAAGATGGTAAAATGGTTCTAATTACTTACCACATGCTTGAAAGTAACATGGGTGCTTACATAGAATGGTTAGTTAATGAACTAATGATGACTGCTAATAAAATTGAATATAAGGATGCACGTTTAGTAATGCTTCCTATAGATACAATAACACACAAGTCCAGATAGCCTTACATATCCTTGGAGTCTTTTATTTTCCTCCTGTCGGATAAGTCTTGCTGAGTATAATTGAGTACTCAGGGTTTTATTCCCCCTGTTGTAGGTGACCGGAGGATACATAGATCTGACTCTTGTGTGTGAAAACCTCCTGGTGGGCTCAGAGAGGATTTCTTTCACGCTACGATCGTAGTGTTTATTTATAACCCTCACTAAAAATTTTTAGAAGAAAAGTTTTATGATCTGTCATCTTATCTGGTTTATAAATGTTCACTATGTTAATGATTCACCATTAACCTTTATTTCGCTGTAACTTTGATCATATGTTGTTCTCCGCTGCAAGATAAAAATATGAACCTAAAATGTATAAACGCTTTTACAAGTAAAACTGTCTTAATTCCGCTATTGCATTCAACTTGTTTAAGTACTCTAATGTTGTAATAAAGTGATGTAAGAAATAGTTAAGAATGTTGTAAGCTTTATTCTCTCATTTATTATCCTGATGAAAAAATATGGATTTTCGAGTTCTTCCTTTGGGTGTGCTCGACGAGAACGGCATGATTTAGTGCACTCTCTTGGATACTTAGTGTCTAAAGAAACACAAGTACTCTTGAGAAGACATTAGATTAAACGGTTCTACCACAGCTTCGTTCCCACGCCACCGACTATCATGCATGAATTACAACATCACTTCATTAGGGCCAAGCCAAAGGATTTCAACAAATGAGCTACCTCTTGTTCATTGCAGCGTAAGGCACAGGCGTGAGACGGCGTCGCTCAGGGCACCCGCAATGATATAAGCTAATTAGTAACTCTAAGCCAATTTTTTCAATAGTGTTAACTTTTAGTATATAGCTCATAACATAGATAACCCCACATGACACCCTCACATGATCTTGGAATATGTGTATGAGCCTAGCTCTTGATAAAAGCTAGTTTTTCTCTTTTTTCTATTAAAATATAAAAAAAATTAGAGCTAACTTATAAGTCACCCATTGTGTAGGTGCCCTCAGGAGCACGAGGCACCACACCAATCTGTTTTGTCGCTCCAAAGGGCAGGGGCAAAATAGGAACACAATGTTATGTTTTTTTTCTAGCACTAATTGAATCTCAAACTCGTCGATTGACATTTAGCAGGCTACGCATGTTTTATAATAATGGTTATCCAGTGATTTTCTATTGCGGGATGACATACGTGCGAACGAAGCTCGCCTCCCGGATTCAAAAACCTCCCCATGACTCCATTTCCAGAATTCACACTTTTTTTTTGACCCAGGAGTTCACTTCTTGTTTAAATCTCGGTCTGTCCAAGAACTCGTAACTTCTGCATGGACCAAGCACGTGTGAGTTGTGACCTGTGTGTTTGTAGCTGAATTCGTCCCTGACTCCCTGTGACCTGTCGATATGGCTGGGCTGTGGGGTGGAACGCTTGTTTGCTTTGGTTGGGCTTGGGCCACGTCAAATACGTCATCCTCATCCTATCCGCTCCACTCGTCTGCAGCTGCTGCTGCCGTTTCCTCTCCCTCCTCCTCCGGCCGTCCGGCGGACCAAACCAGACCGACCATACGGCCATTACCACGCGACTACCTACTCCAGGGATGCTATGCTGCACGCGCTACTCGCTCCAGCTCCTCCAACCCCATCCCTCCTTCCCCGGTGGCGCCACCTGCTCTTACTCATGCTCGTGCTCCCCGCCTTCTTCCTCCTCCGGCAACCAGCACCAGAGGCTCCATCCGCCAGCCGCCCTGTCCCCAGCTACTTCCCGCTCCACCCCGCCACTCACCCGCGCGCCCGACCATGACGAAGATGGCGCCTCCGATGACGCCCTCCTGGCGCTCCTCCGCGCCCATGACACCGATGCCGCCTACGGCCTCTTCTCCTCGAAGCCTTCTGCCCTCCCTTCCTCCCCCACCACGGCCTCTCGCCTCCTCGCGCAGCTCTCCTTCAATTCCAACGGCCCCGATACGTTCTCCCGCGCCGCCCGCCTCCTCCAGAGCCTCCGCGCCCGCGGCGCCCTCGACCTCCTCGACGCCAACTCCCTCTCCCTCACGGCCGCGGCCGCAGCCCGCTCCCGCGACGCCCGCCTCGCCCACTCCCTCCTCCTCTACATGCTTCGTCAGGGCCTCCTCCCCGACCGACGCGCGTACACCACCGCCGTCGCCCGCCTCACTCCGCCCACCAAGGTGCTCTGCCTCTTCGACGCCATCCTCCGCCACCTCTGCCGTGCGCCACTAGAGCTCGTCTACCCCTCCTGCCTCCCCGACGCGGCCGCATTCAACGCAGCGCTCAGCGCCTGCGCCGACGCCGGGGACTGCCGCCGATTCCGGCAGCTGTTCGACGCAATGAGCGAATGGAGCGCCGCCGCCGATGCGCTCACCTACAACGTCGTCATCAAGATGTGCGCGCGCGCCGGCCGAAAGGACCTCGTCGCGCGCGTGCTTGAGCGCATGCTCTCCTCTGGCCTCGCCCCCTGCGCCACCACTTTCCACTCCCTCGTCGCCTCATTCGTCGGCTTCGGTGACATCACCACGGCGGAGAGGATCGTGCAGGCGATGCGGGAAGAGCGCAAAGACATATGCTCACTGCTCAGGGCTGTCGCTATGGATTGCGACGGTGCGACTGACGTCGAGGAGGGTGCCGCGCTGCTGGACGACATTGTTGCCGGGGCCAAACAGGGACAGGGCTCAGATGAGGTGCCGCTGCTCCCCAAGGCTTATCCGCCCAACGCCAGGGTGTACACCACGCTCATGAAGGGATACATGAACGCAGGCCGCGTCGACGATGTCGTGGCCGTGCTGCGCGCGATGCGACAAGAGGCGCAGACGGCACCCGCAAGCCGGCCGGACCATGTGACTTACACGACGGTGATATCAGCGCTTGTCGGTGCGGGCGATGTGGCGCGCGCGCACGCCGTGCTGGACGAGATGGCCGCGGCCGGAGTTCCAGCCAACCGTGTCACCTACAACGTCCTGCTCAAGGGGTACTGCCAGCAGCTGCAGATCAGCAAGGCCAGGGAGCTCTTTGAGGAGATGGTGACGGACGCCGGCATCCATCCCGGCGTGGTGACATACAACACCCTCATGGACGGGTGCGTGCTCAGCGACGACAGCGCGGGCGCGCTAGCTTTCTTCAACGAGATGCGGTCACGGGGCATCGCGCCGTCCACGGTGAGCTACACGACGCTGATGAAGGCGTTCGCCGTGTCGGGCCAGCCCAAGGTGGCGCACAAGGTGTTCGAGGAGATGGGGCGGGACCCCAGGGTGACGGTGGACAGGGCGGCGTGGAACATGCTGGTGGAGGGGTACTGCCGGCTGGGGCTGGTGGAGACGGCGAAGCAGGTGGTGGAGAAGATGAAGGAGCGCGGCGTGCAGCCGGACGTGGCGACGTACGGCAGCCTAGCGAAGGGCATCGCGATGGCGCGCAAACCAGGGGAGGCGCTGGTGCTCTGGAACGAGGTGAAGGAGCGGTGCCTGGAGGAGGCCGACGAGGAGCTGCTGGGGGCGCTGGCGGACGTGTGCGTGAGGGCGGCCTTCTTCAAGAAGGCGCTGGAGATCGTGGCGTGCATGGAGGAGAAGGGCATCGCGCCCAACAAGACCAAGTACAAGAAGATGTACATCGAGATGCACTCCAGGATGTTCACCAGCAAGCACGCGTCGCAAGCGCGCCAGGACAGGCGCCGGGAGCGCAAGCGTGCCGCCGAGGCCTTCAAGTTCTGGCTCGGCCTGCCCAACTCCTACTATGGCAGCGAGTGGCGGATCGAGCCTCTGCTGGATGGCGATGACCAAAGCTGAGCCACCCGCCACCGTTTCTGCTATGAGCACTGTACCCTGCTGCATGAAGGGAATTTTTGTCAAACTTACAAAAGGAAAAATATACTTCATATTTGTTGTTGTAAACCTCAGGAAACCAAATGGGATTTACATATCCCCTTCTTCCTTGTACAACCTAATCAGGAGTAGAGATTTTTTTGCTGCAGGCAGTTGTTGTTATCTGAACGGTAGAAATAATTCATTTTACAATCGAAAGGAGAATGGGAAACAACAAGCAAATGCAGATAAATGTAATGCGAAGCACTGAGACTTATTTTCTTTGTTTCTTGAATTTCTCCTTTCTTTGCCCCCTGTAAACTTGCTCAGTTTTTATTTAAATAAAATTCACTGTAGGGGCAAAAGCCCCTCCAGATTCCTAAAAAAAGAAGAAGATGCTAATATAAATAATTCTAGGGCCTGCTCGGTAGGACTGAAAAATACTGTTTTGGCTGATTGTTGTGAGAGGAAAATACTGTTCTGGCAGGACGTGAATAGTGATTCCAGTAAGTTAAGCTGGCCAGCCATCCAGCCGGTTTAAAGCTAGCCGAACACGCCCCTAAATTATAAGTTATTCTAAAAATCTTAAAGAGTCAAAAGTATCTCAAGTTTGACCAAAATTATAACGTGAATTATAAAGATTTGTGACATCAAATAGATATTACTATGAAAAAATAATTAATGAAAAATCTAATGATATTTAATTGACATCATAAATATTATTATCTTATTATGTAAATTTAGTTAAACTTAAGATGTTTTGACTCTCTAAGATTTTTAAAATGATTTATAATTTAGAACGAAGGGAGTACGTTACAATGTTATTATAACTACATATACTGACTAGAGCATTATATCCGACTGACCTTCATTGCTTGATTGATTGCCACACGTACTAAATCTCAAGCTATCCATTGTTTCACCTAAATCGGTTTATTTCCTCCATTCCAAATTATAAGTCTTTCTTGGAAGTAAAAACATCTCAAGTCAAAATCGTGACGTGGAATGGCGTGCTCGTGTGCATGGATCTGAACGCGTGCGAGCCTATCAGGCTCAGCGTAACATGAACTCCTGCCTACACTTCGAGGTTGATCGTGATGTGGGATGGCGTGCTAGTGTGCATGAATCTAAACGCGTGCAAGCCTATCAGGCTCAACCTAACATGAACTCCTGCTCCAGTCATCAGTACATGCCGAAGGATCTCAAATTGATCCATCCAGTCCTGCTTCAGACGCCAATTTTTTTAGGAGCAGTATATCGGCCCCGGCTGTTCCTGTTACTTACCCATATCTTGTAGTATATCGGTAGCATCTGTCGACAGAAAACGCAGTAAGTTGCTTGCTAGTTAGTTTCTAAATGAAAAAAAAAACTCCCCCACCGTCCATTCAACCAAACCCACATATATCCAATGTGGGGGTAGAATAAAGATGCTTAATTTAGCACAAGTTGCTTGCTAGTTGGTACTACGTCTGAAAGCAGTTTCTTCGAAGAAGAAAGTCGTGGTTATTTCCAAGAAGCAACAGCGTGTGATGTGTGAAAACGAAAAAGCTTCCAGAGTTCCAGACCATATTCAACAAGTCGGCTTCAGATCGCTTTATGTTTCCAACCACTTGAGCCAATTGCACGTCCAAAGCTGCCTGTAAGAATAAGGCCTGGTTTAGATCCTTCGCTAAAATTTTATACTCTCTCCCATCAAATATTTAGACACACACATGGAAGTATTAAATATAGATTAAAAAATAATTAATTGTACATATTGCGACTACTTTGCGAGACGAATATTCTAAGCCTAATTAGTCCATGATGTGACAATAAAGTGCTATAGTAACATATGTGCTAATGATAGATTAATTAGACTTAATAAATTCGTCTCACGGTTTACTGACGGATTCTATAATTTATTTTTTTATTAGTATCCGAATATCCCATACGACCTCCATGTAACATCCGATGTGACACACTAAAATTTTACACCCTGGATCTAAATAAAGCCTAAGAGAAGCAGTCAAGTCACATCCATATTCAGTCCATTACTCAGAGAGCCTATTCAGCTGGTTGGTTTCTAGACTGATAAGTCTGATTAATACTGATTTGTTGTGAAAAAAAATACTATATTAACTAACTGATAAGCTCTGTGAAACCGACTAGAACGAACATGCTGATTGAGCGAGAGGTGGTTGCATTCGTACCACCACAGGTCCATTGGTCCACAGTATTCTCTACATCAATCGATCTTCGGTTCTCCAACAGACCACAACCATGGCTTTCTCCTGCATCGGCATGGCGCTCTTCGTCTTACTGACGCCTGCTTGTGCCGCTGCACTCACCCCACCACCATCCAACGCCACGGACCTCGCTGCGCTGCTCGCCTTCAGAGCGCAGGTCAAGGACCCCCTCGGCGTCCTGGTCGGCAACTGGACTGCCGCTGCGTCCTTCTGCTCGTGGGTCGGCGTCTCGTGCGACCACCGCGGGCGGCGCGTCACCGGCCTCGAGTTCACCGACGTGCCACTCCAGGGCAGCATCGCCCCGCAGCTCGGCAACCTCTCCTTCCTCTCCAGCCTGGCCCTGTGCCAGACGAGCTTGGCGGTCTGCCCCGGCTCCGAATCCTTGTCCTTTCAGACAACAGCTTGTCAGGTACCATCCCGTCCACCCTTGGCAACCTCGCTAGGTTGGAGACGCTCGAGCTTGACAGTAACAACTTGTTCGGGGAGATTCCACATGAGCTGCAAAATTTGCGCAGCCTTCAGACGTTAAATTTGGGAGGCAATGACCTGAGCGGGGCGCTAATGTCAGGCCTGTTCAACAACACGCCAGATTTGAGCGTGATACACCTTGGTTCAAATAGGCTAACAGGAGGAATTCCTGCAAGCATTGCCTCTCTGTCAAAGCTGGAGACGCTTGTCCTGGAAGACAATCTTCTCTCCGGACCCATGACGCCTGCTATCTTCAACATGTCCCAGCTGCAAGAAATATATGTCACCAGGAACAATCTCTCAGGTACGATTCCTGGAAATGAGAGATTGAGAGCTTTCACCTCCCTATGTTGCAAGTGATCTCTCTTGGTGAAAACCAGTTCGAGGGACCTATTCCCTTGGGTCTCTCTGCCTGCAAGAACCTCGAAACGCTCTCCCTTGCAGTAAACAACTTCACTGGTACTGTGCCATCATGGCTAGCAACACTGCCCAACCTCACTAGAATATACTTGTCAACGAATGACATCACCGGGAAGATCCCGATTGAGCTGTGCAATCATACCAAGCTTGCTGGTTTGGACCTCAGCGAGAACAAGCTAGAAGGGAGGATTCCGGCAGAACTGGGACAGCTGACAAACCTCGTGTATTTAAGTTTTGCAAGTAACCAAATAACTGGTGATATCCCTGAATCCATAGGCAATCTGTCTGAACTTACCAAAATAGACTTATTTGGAAATGGGTTGACTGGATCAGTGCCAGTGTCATTTAAAAACTTGCTGAATCTCAGTAGAATGTATCTCCTCAAGAATCAACTCAGTGGGACGATCGCCCATTTCCTGGCTGCATTATCCACATGCAGGAGGCTGAATACCATTGACATTTCATACAATACATTTACAGGGAGTTTACCACCCTACATGGGAAACCTTAGCACAGTGCTTCAATATTTCATAGCAGATCACAATAGGATCACTGGAAGCATTCCTAGTACGGTGGCTAATCTGAGCAACCTATTGGTACTGACTCTCAGTGGAAACAACCTGAGTGAGAAGATCCCCACACCAGTCATTGCGATGAATAGTCTCCAACAACTCGACCTCTCCTACAACAGCTTGTCTGGCACTATCCCAGAAGAAATCAATGGATCAACAAGCTTGGTTAATTTGAATCTTCAAGGCAATAAACTAGCCGGTTCCATTCCAAGCAGTTTCGGTAACCTAATTCAGCTGCAATATGTGGCATTATCCCAAAACTCATTTTCCTCAGAAATACCAACAAGTCTGTGGAACCTTCAGAAGCTTATTGGGCTTGATCTCTCACAGAACTCTTTGAGTGGTTCCTTACCTGCAGATGTCAGGAAACTGACAACAATCAGCGAGATGGATTTATCAGACAACCAGCTGTCAGGCGACCTCCCAGTTTCCTTGGGTGAACTTAACATGATGATTTATTTGAATCTGTCCAGAAATTTATTCCAAGGATCAATACCAGATTCACTTGGCAAGTTACTCAATATTGAGGAATTAGACCTCTCCTACAATGTTCTTTCCGGTGTCATTCCGAAGGCTCTGGCCAACCTCTCTTACCTTGCCAGCTTGAACCTTTCTTTCAACAGACTTGATGGACAGATACCAGAAGGAGGTGTGTTCTCAAATATCACCCTGGAATCATTGATGGGAAACAACGCGCTCTGTGGCCTTCCCACCCTAGGAATAGCACCATGCCAGAACAAAACTAATCACTCAAGATCAAAACAACAGCTGTTAAAAGTCCTACTACCTGCAGTCCTGGCATTTTTCATTTCAGCCTCTTGCTTGTGCATGTTGGTGAGAATAAAGATAAGCAGGAAAGGAAATACGCCGCTAGCCTCAGGCACAGACTTGCTGAGCTACCAGTTGATCTCATACCACGAATCTGTCATCGCAGTAAAGGTACTCAATATGCAAGATGAATCAGCTTCCAAGAGCTTTGACACGGAGTGTCGTGCACTGCGAATGGTTCGGCACCGAAACTTGCTGAGCATAATTAGCACTTGCTCTAATCTGGACTTCAAAGCATTAATTCTTGAGTACATGCCCAATGGTAGTCTGAATGATTGGTTGTACTCAGATGATGATGGGCGGCAACTCAGTTTCCTACAAAGGGTTGGCATCATGCTGGATGTTTTTTTTTTCTCGAACGTGCCTCGGGCACGGTTTTCATTAAGCAGGAGAAGAGAGTTTATACGAAATTACAACTAAACGCCATGGTAATCCACCGATTACCAAAGCACTCCGGCCCACGGGCAACGAG